AAGAATAAATGTCGTGTGCTAAAGATTGTGAGGCTTGAGCAGCGAAGGAGACCAGAGCGAGCGAATGCGAAACAGCAATGTAGTTCATGGTTTTTGCAACGGGCGCGATACAACCCGGTTACCCAGGCCGAAGTAAGGTCTTGACTTACGGGACACCACTCCGGGCCTTTGCTTCAACAGCCTGCCCGCAAGGCAGTGGGGCGAGTTAGGGCATCGCGCCCATCGGGAGCCGGTGACCAATTTCTCGGTTCATACGCCTTTCGGTTGGTATGGTAACAAACAGGGATCCAATCTTCCCCAGTTGGCAGCTGGAATACAATGTCCCACCGGAGTGAAGCAAGCGGCAAGGATTTTATTTACTGGTGAGTCACATCCGCCACGTCGCAGTGTTGTTAAACGGATACATGCAGTCTTTTCTAGGGAGAACGCTTGTAAGGCAAAAACTAGTACGTTTGATAGACACCACCGTTATGATTGCGTAACGCCTGATAAGATTGTCATTGGCAAGGTTGGAGCGCGCCTACGGTAACGGCTTGGAACGCTGCCCAATGGAACGGATTTGAGCTGACCTGATTGCGTTAGCTTAGCCCGGTGAGACGAAAATTGAGTGAGCGTGAGAACGTTCCTAGCCACACGTATCCGAGTAGACGCTGAGCTCTCGTAACGGATTAGGCTATGCACACGAGAAGTGGGTTACGGTAGACGCGCGCTAATGGCTTAGACGCGAACGTTGCCTGGCTATCGACGCACACAAAACCACGTGACCCGACCGACTCCCGACTAACGGCGAAGAGAAAGTGATGCAACTGGTCCTCTGAAGGCTCTTTAACGACCAACATAGGACAAATCACAGTCAATTCTATGGGTCATTAACTTATGGAAAATAGCTGCCACAACGAGGCGGTAGTTTGTAAAAGAACCTTGTCAACAGGTGCGCAGTTGTGCCGCGTCTCGGTGTGGCGGAAAACTGCTACGTTGTGAGGAGGAATTGGACCCCGCTTTCCACAGCCATTACGCCGGAGTTTGTGGCGCGTTTTTGCGGGGCTATTTGATGGTCCGCAACCACATCCTGGAACACCGCCGCCGAACGATTCGCTGGAACGGATAGAACCCGAATCTCCCAGCTGTCATCACGTGGTGGTTGTTCAGCTGGCCATCCAGTCTCCTTTCAGGTGATCGTGATCTTCCTGACATCCGGTTGCTCCTCATATATTGGTGTCATAGGTAAATGCAGGAAATTCGACTCGATGACCCGCAAATGAAGACCAACACTAACCTTTGTGTACCACTGCAGTCCAGACACATCACTTGTACAATACCATAGTCCTTCATTTTTATCACCCTTCCGATATTCTGAGCAGTTTCTGGTTGTTGGTTCACTTACTTCTGGTTGCTCTAAATACGTTGCCTCCTAATACTTGCGTTCAACATACCATCGGATTAGTTGAACCTGCGACAGAGCAGGAAGAAGCTCATTCAGATGTTAAATACGCTCCGTGTCTGTCGTCTTCCTGAATGGAGACTTCGGGACAATCCACCTCAGTGGTTAGCTTTTTTATCAGTTATAGCGTGGTCACGATATCGGCGGCGCTGTGTCATTCGTCCCATTTTCCTGACCCTTGACCATTCCATCCATCTCAACTCGTCATTATGCCTGTTATTCTTGTGCTGGTGCAATTAGTCAGGAAAACTGTATCCACCTCATTCTGGCGCACGGATCACTGTGGATAACTGCGCTTCTGTATGATGCGGGTACCGATAGCCGAGGCTTGACAGGTCCCGTGGGACAGTTGCGGTGAATTACGTAAATTTTAAAAATATGACACTAAAGGGAAACGCACATCTATGGACTCACCATAATATCCACGTTAACATGCGAGTAAATCCGTTTACTCCAGTTTCGTGGGAGTTGGTGAGCACAATGTTTGTCTGCGTCTTGTCTTCACTCGATGAAAAGAATTCAAATCAAGTTTTGCAGACGGTGCGATACATCCTTGAGTCGTTTTTACAAAATGGGTGGCGTGGGCTCAGAAACGATAAGAGTCGAAATGACGGACAAATTCTAAGGGGCAAATAATTCCGTCAACATTTTAGCGGATATTATGGTGTGGCCCGTTACAACTTGTGACCCTCAATTTTGTGTTGCGGCTAAATGTCAGGAGGTGGCGGCAAGCGTGACCGGGGGGGGGGTTAAACTCTGGTACACCAGTATGTGGTCAACCCGTAGACGTCGATAACTTCCGCTGTACCCTTCAAAGGTTTACATTCACAGATGGGATGGCATGGGAAACAATCCCTCCACATTTTCGGTTGCCATTCGCTGTGTCGTCTCCGTTGCAATTAGATTGCGTTTCAACCAATGGCTACCAGGCTTGAATCGCATATTCCACATGGGGCTTAACATATGCGTTGAGCTTTGAGGGTAGATGGAGGAGTCGAACAACTCGGACGCCCTCCGTAAGAGACTGGCATGTTGGTTTGCGGTTCTGGTTACATTCAAGGACCGCTTCGAACAGCCGAGGCCGTCTTGTATCACCCTCCAAGGTCGCCGCACTGTGAAGCAGTATTCAAATGTGACCTCCAAGCTTATATGTGTTAGTGGGCCTTTGGTGTACATGTTGAGTTCTGCACTTGTCCGTGTTGATTTGCTTTTGACCATTCGAAAGCGCGATATAAGTCTCCTTTCAGCTGATCGTGATCTTCCTGGCATCCGATCGCTCACCATATCTTGACGTCATCGGCAAAAAGCAGGAAATTTGACTCGGTGACCCACACATGATCGTCAATGAAGACCAAGAGTAAGCGCGGCTCCAACCCTGACCCTTGTGGAACATTGCAGTCCACATACATCCCTTTTACACTACCACAGTTTTGTATTTTTATTGCATGGTGTTGTTACTAGGTTTGCATAGTTTCGCTCTAATTGTGCGATTCTTTCTGTCGCTCACGGCGTAACTTCTCAGTCAAGTAAGTGCGCTAACAAGATTCTGTCGAAAAATTTGGTGCCACATCATCCTTCAAATCAAGAGAGCTATTCCTCACTCATTTATCTTTCTGAATTTTCACGGCATCAGACAATACTCGGTGTTAGGAATGAGAGACTGTAACGATTCGATCGGTGAACTTTTTGTTCCCCATTACTCAACCCTTCTAAAGAAACTACCCAAAAACATTTACTTACTATATTGAAGTTGTGTTCTCAAAGCTTTGGCTATCATTTTACCAGATGACGTGTTAAGGACGCTCACAAAGATCACCAAGCATTTATAAGTAGTACGAGTCTCCCTCTAAGCACTTTATTGTTTCGCAACCACTAAATTGGCACTCAGTGTTACCTTTGGTTGATCTCTGCGATCGATAAAACCGACAGCAATCGGACACGAACAACATTAGACCCTTTGCACTTCACACAATTGACCGCATACTTCCCCTTCCACTAGTGCTTCATCTGTTCCGCCTATTTCTACTAACTAATCAACACACAGGTCTTCTCCCCTCCATCTATCCCCCCATCTTCGTGGTCTCGGTGATTGAAGGTGACCACGCACCTCAACTCGGTTCTGTTTCCAGTGAGGTCATCTACAATCAATTCGGACTGTGGTTACATTCTGCTTTACTATTCTGACCCCCTGTCCAACAGCAACATACCGCTTAGATGACGCCTTTATGAATTTGATGACATTAATCTAAATTAACTCTTTACTCTGGATTTGTTGCGCTCTAATTCTGGACTGCTACAAACTTTTTAGGAATTTTTTATGTCCATATATCATCTCTAATTATACCTAAAAACGCTCTTTCTCTCCGTGTGTTGGCTAGTCCATCTTAGATCCGACGGATAAATTTGGCCTTCTGCACTTCATTCGCATCTTCATTCACCCGCATGATATGTTCCTTACGCTTAATAATCGAATGGCATCAAATTGCTTTATCGGATTTCTTCCTAAAGCAGACCTGATCTATCAGTTGCGGAATTTTCGATGAGGACAAAGTTTCTCATGTTTATCTACTGGTCAGATAATAGACTGATAATCATAATGTACGTGTTACCAAATTAAATAGGCTCAATGAAGCCTGTTGGGAATAGTCGGGAAATTTCACAAATGATAGACACAAGCAGGATTTTATGGTCAAAATATGTCTGAAAAACCACTAAATTGCCCACAATCAACTGGGTGTCGTATCAACAATTTCGTTGACTGAATTGGTGCCTCGATGCAATGGAGCAGAATCATCACCTAATTTGTCGACTAAATCGTAGCATTTTAAAGGGTTGGGACAGCAGAGCGAAATCGTGTAAAAAAGGCAGAGCCCCTTCGCAGTAAACTAACCTCTTTAACTACTCATGTTTATGTCTGAAAACCGCTGGCTTGCCGAGCAACCTCCTCATGGTGCCAGCTGGGTGGTTCGAGATTTTCCCGTTCCAGCAAATGGTTCGATGGCAGTGTTCCAGGACGTGGTGGGTTTTCGCCTAGCAAGCGTTCTCCCTATAAAAAGCCACATATTTCCGTTTAACAACACTGTGACGTGTTGGACGTGACTCGCCACTAACTAAAGTCACTGCCCCTTGCTTCATCTTGGCGAAGCATTGTATTCCAGCTAATTTATGCAGTAATTCTGGGTAGTATTGGGCCCCTGTTTGACAAAGAACAAACGAAAGGCGTATGAACCGAGAAATTGGTCACCGGCTCCCCATGGGCGCAATTCCCTGAATTTGCTCCGCTGCCTTGCGGGCAGGCTATTCAGCCGAAGGCTCGTGGTGGTGTCCCCTAAGTCAACACCCCACTCCGGCCTGTGCAACCGGGAAGTATCTCTCTCCCTGCCGAAATCACGGACTTTGATGTTTTATGTCGTGTTTTCTTTTACTATTTTTGTACCTTCTTTTGTGTCCCATGGTTTCTGATGGCTTTATGTCTATTCATAGACCGTGGCAAATATCTGATGACTATTCTGCATCAATACAACCTCCTACATTCTTTTCACTGGTTATTTTTCCACAGGTGTTCGTATGGGGTTTCGGTTGCCTCGGTCTTGGTCCCCTTACAACAGTTGCCCCACTTCCTACCCTAATACCTCCTGGTATCTTCGTCCCTGCACTACCCAGCACTCCTCAGCGTCTGGTGTCCATTTACGCCGGCCTACACCACTTCATCGCTCGTAGTTCCGGGGGTCTCCTCTGGGCTTGGGGCGCCCCTAGAGGAGGACTCTATTGCCTTGGGTTGGGTCGACGCACCGAAAAGAATGCCACGCGGCAAACGTATCCTTTCATGCTGGAAATTCCCGCTATAGCGACGCAGGTCGCATGCGGTGTGGACCACAGCATTGTTTTGGCCAAGTCCGCATCCTGAGGAAACGATGTACACATACTCGCAGTCGCAGTCGTCTACGCACGTCCTTATGCCTCCGAACGATTACCTGTCTGCATTGAGGCTGTGTACAAAAACCATTTGCTTGTAAATACATTTTTCCCAATTTGGCTCTTTTGGTTTCGTGGCGTTTTACCTTCCCTTCTTTTTTGGCACTGATTGGGTTTCCTCAACAAGCCAATCTCCATTTTTCACTTCATGCTGCGGACACTTTATCCGCATTAAACACCCGATTGTTACGCTGGAAGCTCAACTGCAAATATTTACTGCGCCTTCTCAAAAATTTGCCTTTTTTCCATATGTATTCCCCGATCATCTGCTGGTATGAGGGACACCACATTACTGCTCACAACTTATGAATAGCAGATCGATATTGAGACGCAAACATTTTGATGGGTTAACGGAGCGGTGGCATCATGCAATACGTTGTAACCTCAGAGTTGATCCGTCGGTCGCTGGCTAGAGCAACGTGAAACGATCGTATTGGACTCTCGCTAGCGAAAATTGCTCCCACCTTTGTTAGGTGAATGTCTGGAGCAACTTACATCATACTTGTAGACATAAATAAGTCAACTATGTTCGATTTGGATATTTCTTAACCCCTTAAAGTCATTTCATGGTGCATACGAGTCATAAAATAGTGAACCGATTTCGGGGCTCTAGTACCTTGTGGTACAGTTTAGGTGCAATCAGACAGTTTTCACTAGGCTCGGAAGTTGTGGTAGCATGAAGTATAGGACACCTTTCACTGTGCATAGCCAACTTATGATGTTTTGGTGAAGATTCATCGTAACTGGACTCAGACAGACAGCCACCACACATCCAGAAAAACGCAAGGTGACCGTTTCGTGTTATTGGGACTCATCAGTAGCGCGTACCCGCTTGTTTCGAACCCACGACCTTACTCTTACGAGCTAGAAACTTATGCCACCGAGTCATGGGTGATGGCAGCGGACCTTAGTCTGGCTGCGATGAATCTTCTCCAAAACCAAATAACTCCCTTCACTAATTACTAATCATCATTAATCGCCCTAGCATCTTTCATGCTACTTCGATTAGTGGCGGCTTGCAAAAGAAATCGGTGCGCTGTAGCCAGCCCTGTCCTCCGCACGTTTATACGACGCATGGCAGTGCGGGATGAGCCTCGCTATATCACACTTAGATATCAGTCATGTCGATACGCTGCTGTCACCCATGCCTCAGTGGCATTAGTCGTTGGCTCGTAAGAATATGGTCGCGCATTCGAATTCGGCAGGATTCAGTGGGTGCGCACTACTGATGAGTCCAAATAGGGCGAACCGGCCGTCTAGCGCTTTCCTGGATGTGTGGTGGCTGTCTGCTTGAGCCTAGCTGCGACGAATCTTCACCAAAACCCAATAAATCCCGCCACTACTCACTAACTTATAATCTTTACGCGCACAATTCTTCCATTCCCACCGAAAATCTCCGTTTAGATGTTGTCGAGGTAGGTTACAGTGTTGGCACAAACTTAAGATGGTGCTTTTTTTCTCTTCCAGATTGCCTCCACTCCTTCTCCCGTATGCTTTTTGCTGCAACCACTACTTTGGTGTGCTTATGCGATTACTTCAATCTGTGATTTTCGCCAGAACCACCAATCATCTGTCAACCAGTACGTGCGTGTGCGATTACATCTCGGTTGTTATCTACAGTTCCGTTCACGGGGCACTAATTTGTGCAATTTTTCCTTTTGTCATTTTCTGCCTCAAGTAAACACTTACTCTGTTGGCACTTGTTGCTATGGTCACCCACCGTCAAGCTGATAATTTGACGACGTAGTTTTATTTTCTTCTACGTCTACGCAAGACTGTGGTGACTCGGTACTGTTGTGGTCTCATAATAGTATGGTGCCGATGGCAAACATGCCTCTTGCGTTTCAACGTCTCTTTTTCCGCATCGTACTGTTAACGTATATCTAGCCAGTACATTTCTTCTTCGGAACTGGGTACTTTCATTTATTCAATAAGTGAAGTTTCATTCTCGAGCATGTGGGTTCAACTTTATGTGACATAATTCACCCTCTTCTCGCGATCCGGATTTTCAACGGAGTATTTCGTGACTCCACCTTTCCTTCTGTCAACTTAGTTGGCAATGAGCGGTCGTACTTCGATTTCAGAAATGCGAATCTGATAAACGTTGCGATTTATGCTCTAGAAACTACGGTCCTTTTGTGGTAAACTCGAGGCTGAAACATATAGTTACATTTGTGGGACGTATCGACCACTCTACCCGCATTGTATCCCTTTCCAGCTAACTTCCTCTTCAAAGCACCCGTCATGGAACGGGATGGATTCACCTTGAAGTCAGTCCCCTTGTTTCATTGTGTTTAACCATCTACTTGGTCCGTAGCTTTAAGGGTCACATGCCTACCTTGTAATCCGAGGGCGCGGATTCCAGCCTGCGTAGTGACTGGGCGACCCTCGCAGTATCCTTAGCACTCGTGCAACTGTTGTTGGTTGCACGGCACGAAAGCGTCGATAATGAATACCGACACCCTGTTGTTTTTGATGCCTCCGGACCCATTTTGGTCGCATCAGTGATGCTCGATACTACTGTTGTAGTCTAATGGATCATGTGACATACCTCAGCGACATCCTTTACGTACGCAGATCGAAGACTTACCAATAAGTGTGCCCAATTGTGTAACGTCTCTACAACATCACACCATCGATTACGCGGTCATTTTCTGGTCATCTATTGTTCGTGGAGGATCGTGGTGGACGATTATCACTACTTTGCTGTGGAACATGTACGTTAAAGAACGCCGCCAGGGTTATAAAAATGCACTTTCCTTCCTTGCTATCAGTTCTGCATAGTTTTGTGATAGCAACCATCACGACCGATCGTTATGCCTCTCACATTGACTGCAATTCCTGTCAACAAACACGGGTTTCTCAACAACAACACCCTCATGTGCTCGGGCCAATTGCTTAGTGGACATTTGCATCTGTCTGAGTCTCGATTCATCGGATGTCTCGGCTGCCAAACAGCCAATGGTGTACACTAATCCGCTGAACGCTGTCTGCATGCTGCGCATTTCGCTGCGTAATTCCTATTCTTGGCACCGAATCACACGGTTTATACGTTCGCTATTGTTTTCGCACAGGAAACCCGTCTGTTTCGCCAAAATTGTATCGATGGCAGTGTTTTAACGCCCACAGAGCTCTCGGCTTCGTAGTCACTTGTGTGGTATGGAATGCGTAATCTGCCGAGCATTTGGCTTCTATCCACATTACATCCTACTGACGCGTTTCCCGGTTGAATTGCAAGAACCCGACGTTCAAGCGGAATTGTTTATTGTTTCAAACATAGCTTATACTAGGTGCATCGCTTCTGATCAACGAAACACCCACTCATCTTCGCACTCTTATTGGAGGTTACATGGCGCGGGTTTCTTTCTATGTTTAGTGGTTGCGCGGTTTACATCACTAATAGAGAGGTAAGCGGAGCCAGTGTCCAGGCACGAGGTCGCGCGCAGGCTTACCGAGGAGCACGTGAGCTATCTGCTGCATGCGAAAGTCACCAGCATAATCGTGGAACGACCTTCGACTGTTTTGCCAAATTTGGGAATCGGGGGTAAACTGATTGGCCAGCAAATACAGGCCCGAGTCAACGGAGACGAACCATTTTGCCAAATATGGGAAATACGTGGGACGGAATTAACTCACATTGGCTGAGAGCCAGACGCTTCCAAAATTAGTATGTTTCATTCACCAATAAATAGAACTGTGCTATCGTGTAGAATAGACTTCCTGTTTACCGAGCCTTGGCCTTCTGTATCCCCTCGGTTGGTTGGGCGCGTGACTGAGCAGTCCGGCGGTCGTAGTCTCGCAGGCGCAGAGTAGCAGCAGTGCAACAGTACGAAGGCAGCTTTACAACAATCACCCATGCCTTCATTCCTCGTGCGCATACCGCTATGCTTCCAGTGTGTTCCTTTGAGGGTGTTGGCTAGTTGTCGTTTCACATCCTGACACATCCGTACTACTGATAACTCGTGCAGTAGTGTCTATATTTATCCACCACAATCCTTTCTCTTCAAAATGCTCGCCCCAACTGCCTTCGTTTGAAGTCTTTCTAACTGTTGGGTATACTCACTATGCGAAAGGAGGTCCTCCTCTAACTCGTGCCACTTCCTCAACTCATTATCATGTACTCGCCGTGAATCTCTTTGCCGAGCTGTTGTATACACTGGACCTCACCGGTTGACCACCTCCTACCGTCCCTTCCACTTCGGTAGGAGTTTCCTCCTGGGCCACAAGTGGGACCGCGTTGATGGTCCATGTATTTCATCTTCGAACCGATCGGAAACTCGACACTCATCTCACCATTGTTGGTCTGGGACTTCTCCATCCTCTGCGCCTGAGTTGCCTTCAGGTTACGGTTGGCTGCCTTCCTGTTATCCTGTGCCTCTTTGGGAGATATTCGGCAAGTTGGCCACATTCCAACCTCTAGATCCACAGGTAGGCGAGGTGCTCGACCGTACATCAATTGGAATGGTGATTTCTTTGTGGAGGCCTGTTTGGATGCTCGATGGGTCAGCAACAGCAGTGGCAAAGCTTCCTCCCAGTCTCCACCCTTTGCCGCTAGCCACTCTTTAATCGTTCTATTGTTACGCTCCGTCAAGCCATTTGTCTGCGGGTGGTATGGGGTTGTCCGCACTTTCTTGATACCAAGTTTCTCCAAGCAGTTCCGGAATTCCTCACTCTCGAAGCACGGACCCTGGTCTGTTAATATGGCCTTTGGGATTCCGTGATCCGCTATCAAATGTTTCATGACGGCATGGGTAATGGTGGTCGCCCGTTGATCCGGGATTCCCGTTGCTTCAATCCAGCGCGTGAAGTGCTCCGTCATCAACAAGATGTATTGGTTGCCCCGCCTGGTCAATGGAAACGGTCCCATCACGTCGAGCAACCATAGTTCACCAATTTCCGATACCGGAATCGACATCACTAGTTGTTGTGCTCATCGGCAGTCGGTTTTCAAAAGATGATATTGCTTGCACGAAAGCACGTATATCTCGACGTCCCTCTTCATGCCCGACCAATAGGCGCGTTGTCTCAGCAGATCGTAGGTTCTGGAACAACCTGTGTACGCCATTTCGTGACAATAAATCAACAATCTCCTCCTTAGTTTTGTCGGAATAACCTGTACCGAAGTGTTACTACCTCCTGGTATCCACATCAACACCCCTGCTTCATTTACTTGTAGCCTGTGAAGGTTTCGCAAACGGTCCAAGCTTCTTGTGTTGGCACTCGTTTAGGACTGCTTGATCGGTTATTCGTACGGTGCTCACTTTGCTCAGGAGTTCGTCACTATGTTATTCGGCCGCTAACTGTCCCGGATCCTGCTCCAACTGTATACCACTAATACTGAAAATCCCATCCGAATGGTCCTCTTCGTTCATTACGCGTGACAAAAAATCCGCAGTTTGGTTCTCCTACCCCGGTGCATGGTTTATTGTGAAATTGTATTCCTGTAGGTTCAGAGTCCATCGCGCTAGCTTTCCCCTGGGGTCTTGGGCAGACATAATCCAATCCAATGGCTTGTGGTCCGTTTCAAAGTGAAATCGCTGATCTAACAGATATGGCCGCCATGTGTCCAAAGCCCAGACGATCGCGAGACATTCCTTCTCTATGGTTAGGTATTTGCCCTCTGCTTGTGTCAAACTTCTGCTGGCGTACTCAATCGTCTCCTGGCTTTGTTTCGAAACCGCTCCTACTCCGACGTCGCTGGCAGTGGTGGCCACCGTGAACATCTCTCCAGCACTGGGCGATTTCAGGGTCAGCTCCTGCCTTCCCATTTTCTGTAGAATGCGAGCAAAGGCTTGTTGGGATTCTACAGTCCAAGAGAATTTCTTATCTTGTTTCAGTAGTTCGTACAAGGGTGAGTCCAGATTGTTGAATTCCTTGACGAATTGGCTGTAGTACATAGCACGACCCAGGAAAGCTCGGAGAGTGCGCTTTGTGGTAAGAACTGGGGTGCCTTGTATTGTCAAGATTTTTCGAGCAGTAGCTTCAGCTCACCTTGTCCCACTTTATGACCCAATAAGGTGACACAAATCTTTCTAATCTGGGGCTTCGGTCCATTTATACGGAGTCCCGACCGCTGAATCCGTTCTAAGGCTGCTTCTAGCTGACTGCTGTGCTCCGCCTCTGATTCGCTATACACCACATCATCCCGTACACTGCCACCTTCTCCAAGCCACTCAATACGCGAAGCATTAAACGTCGGAAGGTCAACAGCGCTCCCAATAAGCCAAAAGGCATTCTTTTAAACTGGTATGGTTTCGCACCGACGGCAAATGCCGTTTTTATCAGTCTTCTTTTATCGCCAGTTGTCAGTATTCAGATCTCGGATCCAGGACCGTGAATATCATCGACTATTGCGATCTATCAAACTGCCAGCAACTGATGGCACTGGAGCGAAACAACTCAAGGAAATTTCATTCAGCCTTATAAAGTCTATACAGAAACGGTATTTCCCATTAGCCTTCTTCACCAATGTCACTGGAATATTGTATGGGCTGTGCGTCTCTTAAATCACATCCGCGTCCAACATTTGTACTTGCCTCTTCAGTTCAGCCTCCAGCTGGATTGGTATCCTTCGAGATCC